CAGTGAGGGACTTGAGGGCTGGTCTCCAAGGCCACATACGCAGCACTCACCAGCATCTGTGGCACATACTGCTCTCTGGTTTGTCACCTCTGTTAAGAACGCTCCGAACCGCCCCAAACGACGCTGCGACCGCTGTGCAGAGTTTGCATCAAAAAGCTCTGAAACAGCAGCTGAAACCTAAGCAGAAAGTTGCTGGGTTTGCTGCTAGCTGCATGGGTGGCGCTTATCTCTCTGCCTCGCTGTCTGCAGCTGTGAATTCTGAAAACTGACTTTTCCTTAATGTAATTCAGGGGTTTTATGGAAGAAAGGGAGCCCTGGACGTGTATTGAGGGGCAGACTGGGAGGAGGAAGGAGAGGAGAGGAAATGAAAGAGCAGTAGTACTCCACGTCTGCTGTCCCGTGGGGATGCTTATTTTCCACAGAGGGACTTTTTGCAGTCTCACTTAATCCGGTTTACAAAGGGGAGCGAAAAAAATAATAATGTGGAAAAGGATCCAGACTTGGGGCTACTCGTAGCTGCTCTTCCAAGATTTTCCCCTGCAAGACAGATCCCAAAATGTATCAGGCCTTGAGCAGGAGGAGTTCTTTTAAATGGAGTTAGTGAAGGAGGCTTATACTGACAGCAGCTGAATCTTGGGGTTATATGTTCAGCCGATCAGTAAGAGCTGTATTTATTTTTTTTTTTATATAAATTTGGAAGGAAAATGAACCAGTTGCTTAAGTTAATGTACAACATACTATTTGCATATGAGATGGTGATTATATTTGGATAAAGATTAAGCTGGTGAAGGAAAGAAAATTCACGTAACGCACCCCAGATGACATAAAGTGGGTGTTCCAAATCACAGAACCTGAGACAGCGCAAGTGGTCGGTGGAACCCTGTGAAATAGTAAAATCAGACTTGTAAATTAAGCTCGATTAGTTCATGTTCCTCAAGAAACCGAGGTAGACGTTGGTCCAAAAAGTTTTGGAACGCTTGGCACAGAAAGGCAGAAGATCCGGCAAAAATAATCCTCTGCAACTAGCGAAGGGAGGGTGTTCTTTCTCCTCAGCGCAGCTGTCGGGGAAGTCCACTGTTGGACGAAGCCTCTCGTAGAGGATTCGGCCGTTATTACTGAATTTTGGAGAGTTTATGGTGGCCCACTACAGGCCGTAAATACACAAATGTACGGTCAACAGTAATAATTCATAAAAGTCCAGCTCGATGCTGTAAAATGGCGTTAACAGTAGCAATTAACATCGTGCGGCGGTTTCTTGGGTGACTGACTCTTCAAACCGTAGAGCTTTGTAAATGTTCCTGCTCGATCTTCCTGGTTCTCAGCAAAGCTGTCCTCTGGGGTGTCTTCTGTAGTTCATAGAGCATTAAACACGTTTGGGGTTTTAGCACTTGAGGATACAAGCAGTTGGCCTAAGCGGAGCCTGGAGTTGTGATAAAATAATTGCTTCAGCCTTCGCTTGAACATCTGTATTGCTCATGAGCGTGCCTGACAGCTGTGATTTATCCTTCCCTCCTCCTGCAGTGATCGACACCACACATCCAGTGCAATCCCCGTTCCAAAGAGACAGAGCTCTAGCTTCGGCAGATTGGATATTGGCTTTTCCAGCGGGCTTCCTTCTCCGGATAAAGGACTCCGAAAACGAGCCAGCACGGGGAACGAAAGACTACAGTACAAAACTCCTCCTCCCAGTTACAACTCGGCTTTAACGCAGCCTGTGGCCGTCGCGGCGCACGTAGGAGAGTTGGAGAAAAAGCCTGGATCGATATCTTCTTCCTTGGATACCTCTGTGGACTCCTCGAAAGGAAATACCAAGAAAGGCGAGGACACGTGCAGCAGCTTAAACGGGGAAAACGGGAGCCCAAACAATCCCCAAGACCGGCAGGAGCCTTTCCTAGGACATACTGGTGCAATAAACGGGGCGTTCCTGCCCGGTGAGTGCTCCGGCGCCGCCAGCGCCGAGCAACCCCGTGAGTTTCGTCCTTCGCTCGGCCCCGTCCTCTGCTGCACCGTGGAGCAAGCGGAGGAGATCATGGGGATGGAAGCGACGGGGTTCAGCCCGGGAGATCAGCTCGAAGACTTTAACTCCATCCCGGTGGAGCACGCCGTGGCGGTGGAGTGCGATGAACAAGTCCTCGGGGAGTTTGAGGAGTTCTCTCGGAGGATCTATGCACTGAACGAAAACATGTCCAGCTTCCGCAGACCACGGAAAAGTTCGGACAAGTGAGCTGGGGCAGGGATTTGATGGCAGACGTTGGGGTGAAATCAGTGTCTGGAATAGAGATAAAATTGCACTTATTCTTTATATTAATTATAAAAATAAATAAATAAAAAAGCTAAAGCTATTCCTCTGGTGTTAGACAAATGGACTTGAGCATGATGACACAGGGTCATGGTATATGCACAGCCCAGGTAAATTTTGATTCTGCTTCCAGCCCTCTTATGTCTGGTATTTATAATCTGTTGGAATTTTTTTTTTTTTAGGCATTGGAATCCACTTATAAAGTCTCTCCTGGAAACAGCTTCTAGTGCTGTTCAGGCCCTTCTGTGAATATTTGTTAATTTCTTAATTATTATTTAGAGTTAAATTTATTTTAACCTTTTCAGAAGGAAAAAAAAAAAGTTAATTTAAAAGTACGTTTATGGTAAGACCTCTTTACCTACTCCCGTGTCTCCCTGAGCAATGCAGTCGGTGTTCCAGAAATACCATGAATTTGTTATAATCCGACAGCTTTCTCCTGGCTGTGCTCTGTAGCCTTGGAAGTTCTGGTTTGTGCTGGTGGGTCTTCAGTTGGCGGTGTCAGAGAAGGAGCATCCGTGTGATATCTGCAGTTTCCTTGCACCTCATTAATCAGAAATGACTTTTTTTTTTTTTTTTCCCTTTTCTTTTGGCCCCTCCTTTCCTCCATCCTCCCTGTTCCTGCCAGCAGAAGCCTTGAGGACTAAGTCTCCTCTAAGGTTTGGTATCAAAATCTCTGCCTGGCCGTTTCCCCGCTTCGGCTGGGCGCAGACCTCATCACTAGAGACCTCAGGAGCGGGGTTAACCGCCACCTGAGCGGGGTTAACTGCCCCCCTCAAGGTCTCCCATGGGGCCAGCGTGCCGTGAGGCGCTTCCCAGGCGTCTTCCTGAAAACCCAGCCTGAAAACGCAGTCGGTGCTTCGGAATTCGGCGAGTTTGCGGCATCGCTTCACCCTCTGTGGAAAGGAGGCACTTGACATGGTGCATCGAAATGAAAATACCCTTTTAACCGTCTGTACTTGCAAGGAAGAAGCTTCCAGCGGGGCGCGGGAGGCGCGGGTGGCTGGTAGGGAGGGTACCGCTGGCACGTGGGTCCGGCTGCACTAACGGGAAAGCGATTTTTGTGATTCCTGGTATTGATTTCAGTTCGGATTTCGTTGCTCTTGCTTTCTGTATTGTATACCCAAGAACTGGGGCTCGGTCGTGAGCCCTTAAGTATAAAAGTATATAGCAGAATAAAAACCACTTCATCCTGCCTGGCTTTTTTTTTTCCCCTCCCTGGTCTATGCTTTCTTTTGAACCAATGACCTAGTCTTTTTTTTTTTTCCTCCCTTCACCATAAGGCTAGCCTAAATTAACTTTTTAAGCTGTGGGTATGCATAATCTCAACTATCTGTTGTCAAAACCAGACACGTACGTGAGAGCCAATAGCACTGCTCTAGAATACGCATTTTGCCGGATGACACCTTCATGATTGTATTAAAATGATATGCGCACTTCTTCGGTTGGCTTTTGACGGTCCTGTCTGGGGTTGAGTTGTTGGGTTGAGCCTTTCTACGGTGATTTCATTCTCTTTGGTCTGTCTCGCTGCTAGATAGAAGCACTCAGAAGCAGAGACCTCTGCTCTGTAAGATGCTGAAGGTGATTCCGGCTGCAAACTTGGGCGTGAAGTTGGACACGTTCATGATTATCTTCTCCCCTGAAGAATCTCCTCTGTTCCAGCCTCATGAAAAGCTTTTCCCTAGAGGAGATGCTGCAGCCCCTTAAAGCGCTGCTGTCCTCTTTGAGAAGACGCGGGTAGGAAATTCTCACCGTGCTTTGGCGTCCCAAGGGCCAGAAGGGAACACCTGGAAGCGCAGCACTTGCTCATGAAGTGGCCATAAGGTCCTCTGTCCTGTGAGTCTCTCTTACCCTCTTCTGATAGCAGGACCATTTTAGGTGAGATTGGGGAACGCTGGGCCTGTTGGGCACGCTCGGAGCAGCCCAGACCCGTGGGTAGGCACCTCGTCTTGCTCTCTAACGGAGAGCACGGTACCTTGTGCGCAGTGGTGACTTCTCCAAGGAACCCAAAGAGCCGTTGGGAAGCCAGGAAGCGACGCATGGAATTAGGTTCGTGGAACGTCGGTGGGATTTGGGAATTCTTTTCTTTTTCCTGAGCTGCACGTTTCCTCAGGTTGCCCGCCCAAACGAGGTCTGGTTTTCCTCCCTGCCGT